GAAAGGAGAGGTGAGGCGGTGGCTGCCTACCTGCCCATGCCCAGAACCCTTAGAAAGTGGAGACGGGTGAGAAGCAGCGAGCAGCCCTCTGGAGGGCTCAGGAAGTTTGTCTTTGCTCCATGCAGGGTCACGGGCTGGGCTCTGGGGAGCCAGTGGGCTGAGTGGCCCGTGCAGCCCGCACTGTTCTTGCAGCGTGCTGGGCCATGTGCCTGCCGGTTGGTTTGCTGCATGCTGGCCTTAACCCCCTCGGCACCTGCAGAACTTCCTTCAGAGGATGTGAGACTATGGGGGCAGAGGGTGGTGGTGGTGGGGGGGAAGCAGGCACTCCGAGCGGGAGGGAGGGGGTGGTGAGGGAGGGGCAGAGAATAGACCCAAGTGCACTAGAAGGCAGCTCCCAACAGTTTGTCCCCAACGCATCCACCCACCCCCTGCCAAGCTGCAAGCTGCGGAAGGATCTGTGGGTATTTAACCTTAAGTTAGCGCCTGCAGAGGATTTCAAGCCTGCAGTTCCCTGTGTGCAGAGACTGAGCCCTGTTTACAACCAGGAGGGAGCTGGGGACAGTCGAGCAAATGTAGCCTGTACTGCTCTGAGGCCAGCCTGGAGCTGTGAGGAGTGGGGGTGCTCCCCGCAGAGCCTGGTGTCCTCTGGCTCTGGAGCCGAGTCAGCTCCCTGCGTTACCTGCAATGCCCTGACAGGAGCGCGTGGGTTTATGGGGGAGAAGGAGGAGGAGGGAGGCAGGCTGGCAAGGGCAATAGGGGAGCCGGAGGGGGAGGAGGCGCCCCACCAGGCTCTCTTACTCAGGAGGAACTCCGCTCAGAATAGCTCTGGAGGCCTCATCCAGCTCTCCATTTCCCTTCCTCCTCTGCCTGGGGTCCTGGCCAGCTTTCTGAGAACTGAGGGAGCCTCCCAACCACCAGCCCTAGTCACCTGTAGAAAGTGGCTGTGCTCCAGGGATTGCCTTTCTATATAAGAGCAGCTCCGGGAGGCTGGCGGCTGGAGCTCGCCCCTGGCTGCCCACCCTACCCACCCACTGCCTGCTGACCACACTCCAGGTGACCCCTCTTGGAAAACAGGGATGCATTCTTCCTAGCTCCAACCCAGCTCCCTGGGAGGGCAGGGGAGGAGGCTGGAGAGCAGGGGCTGACTCTGGAAAGAGCTGTTGGGCTAAGTGCTTCAAAGAGCCCTACTAAATCCCCAAGGAAACACTCTGCTTCCCCTTGAATCTAGGTCCCTTCTCCTTCAGGCGAGAACAGGGCAGGTCTCTGACAGCTTCTCGGCATGAGGCCCAATCCCTCTTGGCATCCCTGAAAACTTGCTCTTAAGGTATTTCTGAGCCTGGTCACCCAGGGCCTGAGTGTTGTTACCCCATCACTAGGAATCAAGCCTGCTGGGGCCACAGCTGGGGCCTGTGTCCCAAGACAGCAGGGCTGCCCTCTGTCAGGGGACTCCGAGCAGCACAGGAGGGCGAGGAGCGAGGTGCTGGTCATTTCTTCCCACCCCGGCTCCTGAGCTGACCCCTGGCATCCTCAGGAGGAACCTCTAAGCTGGAGCAAGGACTGGGTTTCAGAGAATTTTTGAGGAAAGTGCTTTACAAATATAAAAAGCCTCTGGCCTCTGATGCAGGTCCTAAGTACTTCTGCCCAGCTACAGAACCTTCCAGGCATTCTCTAGAGGAGAGCTGGGGGCAAGAGGGGGGAGGTTCTGGCCCTGGTGTGGACAGTAACTTTCTAGGTGACCTTGGGACACACCCTCTACCTCTCTGGGCCTGATTCTTCCTCTGTGAGGCTGGGAGTTTCCTAAGGACACTTCCAGCTCTAAAGTGGTGAACAGTGAGGCAGCAGGGAAGGCAGGAGGGCAGCGAGGAAAATGGCCACCATTTCCTGTCACCAGGATCTAAAGATATCCTGGAACTCTGATGCCCACTCCCCACCCCCACTCCGGGTAGGGGTCACTTTCCTTCCCTTTGGCTCACCTTCCCTCTCACCTCGGGCTGCTGCCCTGAGAAACATGACCCGGCTGTAAAAATAAAGTGGGCAGTGTGGGCTCCTGGGCCTGTCCAGCTAAAGGGGGGCCCTCCAGGGGACGGAGAAGGTCAACCCACAAACCTAAGACATGGGCGTGGGAGTTTAGTACCTTGGGGCTATAGACCCCTTTGAACTCAAATGTATCATGTGTACCCTCGCCAAGCATGCAGCCAAACATTTTTACACACAACAGTATCTTTTTTTATTAAGGTTTTTTTTTTGTTGTTTGGTTTTGTTTTTGCCTTTAGAGACTGTGTTCACTGGAGAGAGACAGTGAGAGGGAAAGTAAGAAATCACTCCCCAGTAATCCCTCCTCCTTCATTCTCCTGGGATTCTGGGCATGCACATACACTACACCCTGGTATTTCTCAAGCCACCAGGTCTGGGACTCGAACTGCAGTCAGCCATGTGGGATTCCAGTGCCTTAACCACTATGCCACCTGCTGGTCCACGTACAATAGTATTTTACCTCGTCTTTTTTTAAATTTAAGAATGATTCATTTTATTTGTTATTATTATTTGTTTAATTTGACCAGAGAGAGGGAGCGAGGGAGAGAGAGACAGAGAGAGAGAGAAAAGAATTATGGGAAAGCAACCCGCCAGGTCTGGGACTCGAACAACAGTTGGCCATGTGGGAATCAAGTGCCTTAACCACCACACCACCTGCCAGCCCCAATCTTACCTAATCTTTATGCCAAAACCACTTCTGAGGTTAATGAGGCCTGGGGCAAGGGTCCAAATGGAAATGACATATATGTTTAAATATAAATTCTAAATGAAGATAGAAATGTGTTCAAATTTATCCTTTACTCTGTCTTTGACTCATTTTTTGCATGATGCCCTGGAAGACTAGGTCCAAAATGGAATTTTCAGACCACTTCCTGGTCGGTGCTCTCTGGTCTTGCTGCTACAGGGGCGCCTGTGTGGGCCTCTAAGCAGGCTTCCATCCCTTCCCCATCACAAATGGCTGCCCCTCAACCACATCTTAGGCCAGTTCATGGTCATCTGGGCAGGGAATTCCTGGGTTCTGGAGTCCCAGTCTAGGAGGGGAGGAGGTGCACCCTCTCTCCTTGGGACCAGAGAGGAGGAGCATGGCCCAAGGAGGGCCATCCATAGTGAAGTGTTCTAAGATCAGCAGCCCAGGGCTGAGGCCTCTGTGACCCAGGCCTAAGGGTAATACTGCTTTTAACAATCCCACGAGGTGAATATCATTAAGTTGACCTTTAAAAAACTTTGCCATATGGCACCTGCGATGGCAGAGAGAGAGACAGAGAGGGGTGGGGGTGGGAGAAAGTGAGAAAGCACCCTCCAGGGAGGTGGCCACACTGCAATCCCTTCTCCTCCATTCTCCTCTCGGGATTTTGGGCATGCACGCACACGTGCCCAGCATATTTTCCAAGCCACAGTATCCAGGACTCTGAACTGTGGTTGGCCACGTGGGATCCAGCTGCCTTAACCACAATGGCACTAGCTGGCCGGCCACTGGCCATTTCATAGGTGACCAGCATGGCTTTTGGAAGACTGTAACCTGCTTGAAGGCCTGGCGGCCACTGGTCTGTCATAGCAACAGTGTGGAGAAAACGCAGCCACACTTCTGAAAGACAGACTGACATTCCACATTTCAAGAGTCTTCATGGCTTTGAAGCGGCCCCCAGCCAGGGATCCCAGGTTAAGGAGGTGGCTGGGGAGAGTACTTTTGGTGCAGCTGGGGCCAGGTGTGAAGTGCTGGTCGGTTTCCAAGTTTGAACCAGTCTCCAGGCAGCAAAAGGGACCCATGGGGGAGGTAGGCTGGCTGGGAAGGGTGCTAAGGATGTCCCCATTATTTACTCCCCCCCACCACTCGCCAATAGCATTGGTCACCTTGAACTCAAACTTGCCTGGAAAAAGGCTTGCTGGTCCCAGTCTCACCTCAACCCTCTGACCCGGCTGTGACCATGGGCTTCTCCGCCCTCTCACTAAGAGGGGCCAGAGGGAGCCTCTGCGGGCTCTTAGAGGAGCAAGAAATTCTTGGCGGAGGATGAGAGCGAGGAGTACGAGGGGGGTGGTCTAGGTGGGGTGGGGAGATAAGCCGTCGTGCAGCGAGAGGGTGAAGTGGGGCGCAGGCCACAGACCAGACGCAGATGGGCAGTCCGGCCAGCTCCCCAGCCCGTAGCTTCCAGATTTCTGATTTCCCGAGTCTATGAAGCAGTGGGGGAGGTTGGTGGGCGGCGGTGGGGACCGCTGGCAATTCCAAGTCGGGTTCCCGGCGGCCTAAGGTAACTCGCCCGGCGGACCAGCGGCGGGGCGGAGGCGGCCGGCGCGGGTCGCCAGGCTGCCTGAGCACGGGTCGGCGGGGCTGC